TGCACTTCAGCTCACATCAGCTCACAGGTAGGTGGGGGTGCCAACGAAGAGGGAGACCAGATTCGGAGGGCGGCTGAGTTAGATGTAGAGGGCAATGATGTGGTGGTGGTGAGCGAAGGTCGAGAATTCTGGTAGAGGCGAAAGAAGAAGGGAACTGGGAAAGGAAGGAAGGAAAGAGAGCGGCGAGTGGAGAGAGAAAGTTTGAACTAGGGAGAGGGAGAGAGTGGTGATGAGTAGGGATGGCAACAAAACCCGAACTCATGGGTACCCACCCGACCCAACCCGGTCAACGCGGGTAAAATCCGTGTTGACGGGTTTTGGGCCGGGTTTGGGTTTAAACCCGCTACACTATTCATCGGGTCGGGTTGGGTTTGGATTTAGGTAAACCCGCCCCATGGGTACCCGCTCACACACATATAATTACTTTTCCGGTATATTTATTATTCTAAATAATATATCTTCCTTAAACAACTAACATTCTTTATGTTTGTGGAGACATATATAATTTGTTCTTTCTAATTGTTTAGAATGAAGTTGATATTATGAAGTGGAGAGGGAAGAAACTTAGTTGACGAGGAAGAAGCTTTCAGTTAATCTTATTGTTTATAGATGTTTATCTTTAATTTTGAACAATTTGTATTGATCATTTGCGGTTTGCTTGTATTCTCTAGATTGATGTTTTTTGTATGAATAATTAGTATGAGAAAATTGATGATAAACTTTTATTTTGAAAGAAACTCGTTATTGTAAATTTTTTACCACAAAAACCCACGGGTACCCATGACAACGCGGATACCCAGCGGGTTGGGTTTGAGTTTTTCAAACCCAACGGGTTTTACTCCGGGTTTTTTTGGCGGATAAACCCATGGGTTTGGGTTTGACAAAACCCGCCCCAACCCGACCCATTGCCATCCCTAGTGATGAGCGAGAGAGGAGGAGAGGTACCACGGTTAGTAGCGATGCACCGAGTATTTCTCGGTTAGCAACCGACGAACGCCGGTTATACATATTCCTTTTAAACGATAACCAACACCGACACCGCAGGCATATAATCAGTTTTTGGTTACCCGATTTACCCACTTTTCGGTGCGATTTTCAATTAAACCTGGATAACCGACAACCGATTATCACCCCTAGTGTCATACAATTATATTATTACTATAATAATGGTATAGTCACTATGACATAATGATAATGTCAATAAGATAAATATTATATCATGATATTATCACTATGATAAAGTGATAATATCAATCATATCAGTGTCCTATCATCATATAACTTTCAATGGTAATACCATGATATGATAGTTTTCTGATGGCTTGAAAATTTTTTGATCCAAAAAATATCAAAATGGATATAATTTTGTAGAGAACAAAAAAATTGTTCAAATGTGATCTAAAATGAATGCGCTATGATCCGTGGAATTTTTGTTAGAAATTTGAAAAAGACTCTAACAACTGCATATAAATTCGTGCCAAAATAAGGAAAGATAAGAGGGAACACACAGCATGAAATGAACACTCCCCTATAGGAACAAGGCATGCCATGTTTTTATCCGTGCCAAAAATACCCCTCCCCATGCATTGCCATCATATCTGGAGCCCACAAATCTCAGCCATAGATCCATGGTTTTGCAGGCCTACAAAACCTTGTGGTTTTGTATATGAACCTCCACCATAAACAAATAATCAAATACTACTATATATATAAGCCCGCTCACTATGTTTTGTTTCAATAAAACAATGTGGCTCGCTCTAACTACAACTTCTCAATCGAAAGCCAAGTTTAACCAACGATCGGGTGTAGCATAGGGTAAGTGAGTAATAAAATTATCGAACCATGGGTCTATAAATTACCTTAATTTGGTCAAAGGCTTCGTTATCTAGTCAACCTATAATAGTGATTAAGAAACTAATCTAACTAACCTAACTAACCACTATCCTAGCTGATTATAGATTTGGAGCTCTTTTAGCTTGAATCCCTCTACTTACATCATTTAGTCCAGTGTTGCGTACCATCCTAGGTTGATTGACTCTATATCCCTACCATTAGGGGATAAACTCTCTCGCGATTGACCCGGATGACAAAGTGATGGATTGGTAGGTGCTCTATTCAACCTAGGGAAACCCTATATCATTAGGAGATCGATCGAATTGAATCCCTCGAAGGATTACCCGGATAACAATAGAATGTAAAGTGACCCTAATTGCTAAGAATGGGCTAAAAGGGGATTTTATCCCTCCTAGGTCAAAAGCTCAATTAACATGACATGGAATCCAAACTCATGCAATCCACAACACACATCTATCAAGTAATAGAACAATCAAACATAGGATTTTCACACACATCTAGAACTAAAGTACTTCAACCTAAGAGAATATGGCTAATTCCTAGAGAGAAGAGAGAGATTAGAAAATAGCTCAAAATCTCTATATTCTAGGCTTGAATCCTTGACTCCAAGATCAATCCAAGCCTTCAATTAATCTCCCAGATCACTCACTCTCTCACCCCCTCTCTCTAGAAATGCCCCTTTGGGTGCTTTAGGTTGGAAACTAAAGAAAAACCAAGCTCTCCTTTCAAAACCCATAGCTTCCTCTTTTATAGCTTAATAGTGCGCATGTCACGACCTTAGGTCACGATTATGACTTGGCCATGACCAGACTTTGATCACAGCTAAAAATGGTGTGAAATGCGATGACGTCACGAACTGGCTGTTATGGTTACGGAAAATAGGTCTAGGAACGCCGATTACCAAGTCAAACACTCAAAATATAAAGGGGCAAAACATGTGTAAAAATGCCCGAATCACAATGTGAAAGAATTGGTGATATGGTGAATATAGTAGTTAATAATAAAAAAATTAAGTTGATAAGATAGTGATTCAATCAGATATATTTACTTACATGACAATGGGATAGAATTTGGAAAGAAGCTATGTTATAAACGCGCTGCTACGGATCGGGAAATCGCAGAAATTGACAAAACAAGAATACGAAAGCGAGAATCAAAAACACAACACACGATTTACGTGGTTCACTAACACGATGTGTGTTAGCTACGTTCACGGGCGAGAGAGAGTCAGTTTCACTATATCAAGGAGACTACATATTACAGAGGAGTATGAGAAGTATTTATAGTCTGATTCAAGTCATATCAAGTCGTAGCGGCTGATAGTCCGATTCAAGTCATATCAACAAGTTACGTAGAGAAAACTCCAATCATAAGTAAGACCCTTTCGTTATGTGTAATTCATTATTGCTTATGCAAACATGTACAACCGGCTCTAGGTTAGAACTCCACTTATAAACAGTAAATGCCATGACAAGTGTTTTGCGAAAGGGCTTGGATTTAGTGTGCTTCTCATAAGGAACAGTACACTTATCAAACGGTAACTTATTAGACTTTTAATTAATTGATTATGTCCTATTCACTATGTTCAATCTATCCATTAGAACATATACATCAAAGATGCATAACGAACAAGAACTTGACCTAGTAGTAATACGGCAAGTCTTGATCTTGGATTTGAATCTCTTAAATATCACCCATATAGATTTATAAAAAAAAGTTGTTTAAAATATCGTGGTTACAACTTGCAGCAGATCGTAAGAGCAAAACTGTCTCGAGGACAATTTGGTGGATACATTAGTATTCGTGACAGCATACCTATGACTATACCCGATTAGTACTAGCTAGACTTGGACTATCCCTCTTGTATTCGTTGAGACTCTCATCAAAATTGCATATCATCATTAATTAATTAATTAATTTAGTAGTGTGTTATAACACACCTTAGTGTGGAGAAAGAAGGACGACGCGACTATTGGATGAGGGATGCTTATATTATACGAGTCCCTGAGCATGAAATATACGTTGCCGACAAAGATCCCCAGAACTTAGGTCAGCTGCCAAAATCATGAACGACAGTTCTGCCATTGAACCCCAAAGTGAAGAGTTCCTTTGATGAACACAAGCTCGGCGGGAGGTGAGCTCTATTGAAAGCGTGTGTGCTTGGGGAGGGAAGTTAGAGTTGCTTTCACTTATGTTAGCTTGGGCTAGCCGTTAGGTGTGGTGGAGCTAGGTTGAAGATAAGAGGGGTTGTAGCCTCTCTCAACTTTGAAATATAGGTAAAATTACATGTAAATTTTGTATAACTTTAGTAATTAGAATATGTTGTAAGGCTTTAGCCTCTTCTCCAACTAGAACAATTCAAGTCAATCCCCTCTCGTTCAAATTTCTAGCTCCACCACTGATCGGATCGTTAGTAGGGTTAGGTATGTTGCATGGCTGTTTATGGGGCAAGGTTAGTAAATAGGGTTACCAAGATAGTTTGGGCTGAATAGAGGTCTTCTTCAGTTGCGTGATTAAGTCGGCTAGGGTAAGTAGGAAGTATCGGTTGTAGCTAGGTTTACATATTATAATTTTTCAATTATATAAATGTATGTTTGACATTATTCCGAGATAAATCAATGCAATAACAAACAAAACAATTTTCAGTACTTTACATTGTATTCCTCGCATGTGAGTCATGAAACATATGTACTTGGGTCTCCTTGAGGTTGCAAAAGAGACAAACATCACTACGGTTTGGGCTGCGCTTGCTCACTCGATTCGGAAAATAACAAAGTTGAAAAACAGAGGCCCATGACACCAAAAGTCTATAGGCCCATCTCCTGGGAGCACTTCTACTATGCTATATAGTATTGGTGCTTTAATGTACAACTTAAAGTTGTACCATAATATTAAATGTATAAGTTTAAGTTGTACCATAAAGCAATTTGTACCATTATATTATGGTACAACTTTGGCCTAAGTTCAGGTCCTTAAGGCCTTTTTTTTAAGAAGGAATTTAAAGCCTTTTGATTGGCTAATTCTAGATTAGGTAGTTGGTAGGGAGTTATTAGTTAAAAAGTTGTTAGGGGTATTAAGGAGAATACAATTAAATTAAAACATGCATTTTTTTTTCAAAAAACCCTAACCCATTGCTGTCGTCTGTTTCAAAAACCCGTCCTTCTCCCTCGACTCTCTCCGCCTGTTGTCCCAACTGCTCGGTCCGCCTCCCTTCTCCCCAACTTCTCCGGTTGTCGTCCGTTGTTCGGTCCGCCTCCCTTCTCCGTCCCAATCGTGAGTGCTAGCCGACGACGTTTGCAGAGGACAGCTTGGTCGTTGTTCGGTCCGTCGGCAGAGGACAGCAGCAAGTCGTTCGGTCCGCCTCCATTCTCCGTCCGTTGTTCGGCAGAGGAGAGCCAGTCGTCGTCCATTCTCCGTCGTTTCCGTCCATTCTTCGTCGGCGGCAGCAGCCTTCGCAAAGCACAGCAGCCGGCGCCGTGATCTCGTTTCAACTCGCAGTCTTTCGTCGGTGCCGTTTAAAGGTATATTTTCGTATTCAATTTTTTTGTCGATTTTTTGTGATTTTTTGCGTTGCATGGGATTAGGGTTTTGGCGTTGCATGAGATTAGGGTTTTGTCGTTGCATGAGAGGAGAGAGCGTTTGTAGAGTTTTTTCAGAGTTTTTTCATCCCATTGTTAATTAATAAATACGTGCAGAGTTTTTGGTGTCTGTTATTAATTTATTTTGTGGACGTTTGCAGGGTTTTTTCATCCCATTGTTAATCAACATTTTATTAATAATTTTGTGGACGTTTGCAGAGTTTTTTCATCCCATTGTTAATCAACATGTTATTAATAATTTTGTGGACGTTTGCAGAGTTTTTTCATCCTATTTTTAATCAACATGTTCTCGTTCTCAACCTTTTGGCATCTTTTATTAATCATTCCGTGGGCATTTGGAAACCGTGTTGTTATTATATTATTAATGAATACGTGCTCGTTTCCAATTTTTTTGCTCTCTATTATTAATGAATACGTGCTCGTTTTCAATTTTTTTGCTCTCTACTATTAATCTATTTGTCATGCAAGTCAATTATTAATGCTTTCGGTGCTTACAGTACTAATGCTTTGCATTATTAATGATTTATGGGCAATCATTAACAGAGCACAATATAGTTAGAAATATTAACACACTATTAATAACAAGATTATTAATTTTTTCATCTTCATTATTAACATATTTAACTACAGTATTAATGATTGTATGGCCAATTACTAATACACAAAAGTCATTTCTTATGTAATAGTCATTTCTCATAATAGATTGGATTTTGTATTAATGATTATTAACTTTTTTGTTACCATTATTAACCTTTTATATTTAAGTCATCAACGGTTCTGCTACCGTTATGGAAGTTTAATTATTAATACTTCAGTTACCAATTCGAAATTTTTAACTGTCATGTTATTAAAGTTTTTGTTATCATTATTAACATTTTCCTCGCTCATTCAAATTGCAATGAGTTTCCTTTACTAATGTTTGTTTGACTGAATCACAGGTGCACTATGTCACAAGTGTCGAAGATCTTGAAGATCTATATTGTGATTCATGATCACTGAGAACGATATACAAAGCAATATCAATTGATTGCAAAATGTTAACAATGTCATTAGAAGTCATTGGAAGATGCCATGACTAGATAGTTATAAACATGAGATGAAAATGTGAATCATTGGTAAAAAACTAAAAATATTGTAAATCAATAATATTGCACTACTCAAACTTTTAGTGGCAATGTTATATGACTTTAATGATTCATTCACAAGCATTGATGACAAAAATGTAAAACAGTAATAATTGATCCAAAATTGTTAATAATGTAATTGTAAAAAATTGATAAGTATATTGAAAATATTAATAATGATTAGGTATAGTAATAATTATTTATTTCATATATGTTGATAATGTCATTGCAAAACGTTAATACTACATTGCAAGTTGTCTCAAAATGAGAGAGAGCATGTATTTTTAATTTCATAAAAGTTAATAATATCATTGTAAAACGTTAATACTACATTGCAAGTTGTCTCAAAGTGAGAGAGAGCGGGTATTTTTAATTTTCATTTTAAGAAAGAAAAAACATTAAGTCTGAATTTATTAAATATTAAATAATAATATTTAATTTAATTAATTCTGAATTTCCTTTTAATGATAGTGACGAGAGAGGGTAATAAGAAGGTTACGGAGGAGAGAGAAATAAAATCATTAATTATTAGTATTAATTATATTTGCATAATACCCCATTTACCCTCAACTAACAATTAACTACTAACCACTATTAACTACCTAATCTACTATTAGCCAATGAGAATGACTTAAGAAGATGCTTAAACTTATAGGCTTAAGCACCGGATCCAACCCGTACAACTTTACAACTTGAAGTTGTACCATCACATAAAGGTACAAGTTCAAGTTGTACCATAAAAGAATTTGTACAAAAAGTATATGTACAATCTGAAGTTGTACCATAACGTAAATGTACAATTTTAAGTTGTACCATAAAGGGAAACCTCTATAGCACCAATACTATATAGCACTGTAAAATTTCTCATCTCCTGGACAAGCGAGGACCCGAATGACCCGAACTCGCCGTAGGGGAGCGCTCCTAGAAAACCCCTAACCCCACAAATAAAATAACATTCGCATCTCCCCTACCTTCTCTTCATACCTTCTCTTCGTGGTAATTAACATAAATGGTCACAAACCTATTCGCTTTAAACAAAATGATCACAAACTGTTTACACCTAAAATAATTTTGGCCTAAATTCAATGCCGTAATAATGAGTCTCGGCATTTAATTCGATATCGCATGGCCAAAACGATGTCGTTTGGAGTCGAGCAATACTACGGAGAATTTAAGCGAGACCGCGAAGAGGCTCAACGGTACCGCGGTACTTGAAACGACATCGGTTGCAGACCATGTGTGAGTCATGCGCAGGACATGTGTTGCTGTTGGACAAGAAATATTTTTTATTTTATTTTTCCTTGTCGGAGGAGGAGAGTAACAACACCGTTTGGAGTCAAGCAATGTTGCGAAGAGATAAAACGGTGCCGCAAACCTCAAAGCTCAACGGCATCGCAAGACTGGGAAACAGTGTCGTTTGGCTAAAAACGGCACCGCGACAAACGGTATCGCGGTGAGTTAAAACGATACCGCGAAACAAAAAACGGTACCGCAAGGAAGCTCACCGGTACACCGGCACTGGAAACGACACTGTTTACCAGAAAACAGGATGGGGGCCGCACGCGTAGCATTGGTGTTGGAAAAGGAGTTATTATTATTATTATTATTCCTTGTCGGAAGGGGAGAAGCGGTACCGCATGGAGACAAGCGTTATCGCGGAGAATTAAAACGGTACCGCGGATGTAAAAACGATGCCGCGGGAGGCCTTGATAAGCGGTGCCGATTAAATAAAAAAAAATCATATCGGGTAAGTGAAGGGCCTAAATTCCGCCCAGCCCAATGCGAGTGGAAACTCTCGGCGGTTCAATGAATTGGAATTTTTGGCTATGTTAGTGGTGTCGTTTAATTAAAAACGGTACCACGAGTAAGCCCAACGGTACCGCTATATTAGCAAACGACAATGTTTAATATAAAACAATGTCGTGGAGTAAAAAAGCAACCAGAGCTGTTTGGGGAAGAAAACGACATCGAGTGAGATTCACACCAACCCGAGCGAGGAGGAGATCAAGACGGTTGAGACACGTGGGAGTTCACAACGGAGCAGTTTAGGAAGCGGTTCCACCTAGCGTGAAGACTATGAAGCGGTTTTTTGAATAAAAGCAGTGGAGCAAGGAGAAAGAAAAGGGAACCAAATCAACACAGAAATACATCTGTCAAACTTTACCTTTTTTCTCTGTAACTCCTTCGTGGAGCTCTCCTTCCACGAAGGATCTCCATAGTTGTAGTCTTAGTCGTAGTCGCGGAGCTCTCCACAGGAATCTCCATAGGAGTAGTGGTAGCGTAGATTCCTCAAAACTCAAACACCCTCGTTCGAACGTAGTTTGGAGAGGTGCGAACCGTAGTAACGGTCGCGTTGGTTGGAAGTCAGAGGTGCATCGATCAGATCAACATCGCCCAACGGTGGATATTTGACGGTCACGTTGATTTCACCATTCAGAGGTGCATCGATCAAATCAACATCGCACGGCGGTGGATATTTGACGATCGTCATCGTTTTCAGAAGTCAGTTGCACCAATCAAATCAACACCTCATGGTGGATATTTGACGATCTCGTCGATTTCAACAATCAGCGGTGCATCCGATCAAACGACACCGCAAGAGTTTCCATCGCGAAGCATCAAATCAATATCGCCGGAAACGAATTCGACACCGGCGGTGGTATTTGATTTTCCCGAGAAAACAATTTGGCACGCCCAGTGGGACGCGTGTGTTTGATATGGCTCTGCGATGAGGAAAAGAAGTTTGTGGTCTTAGACAAGGATCCATGGCGGAGGCTCAAATGATCAACATCGAGATTAACGACGCTGTTGACAATTCAAGCAACAATGCTGGAGCAGATGTGCAATCAGTGGCACAAATCTCCGATCAGGGTGGGATGCTGCGCATACTCCGCCAAGTAGTGGCTGAACTCAGCAAAGATAGCCAACAGGTCAATCTCATTTTAACTTCTCTTGACAAAAAAATGGATAATCTTGATAAAAACATAGACCAATGGTTTGATAAGTTGGACGACTCTGTTTCTGATTTTAATATGACAATACGTGGAGCCACGTATGATTTTGATGTGTTTAAATCTCGAACCATGTCTGTTGTGTGTGAGTATGCGATGGTTGGTCGAATAGCTAATGTCAACCAAACTCCATCATCGATGGCTACAACATTGTTGCCAGAAGTGAGTGAATCCAATGTGTTCTTTCATGTGAACAACGTTGTTCTTAAGGACACACAAGTTGTAAGTGGCTTGATGAAGCCACTACAAAGAAGTCAGTATCGACTCACTTCTAGTAAGATCGAAAACAAGAACCAGGGTCGAGAACCTGGTTACATTCACATTGAGCATAGCAAGCTCATGTATGATGGGTTGTCCAAGCAACACCGCAATGTTGTTCAATCTAAGCCGCTAGGGGGGCATAAGATCCCACTGCATGGTCGGTTAATAGAAAAACATCGCAAGTGGCAAATAAGTTTGCCAAATCTATCCTATTCTAGGAAAATTCAAACAAGGATGGCCGCAAAAACTTTGCGGCATGATAGTGGTAGCCACGTGAAAAAACCCAATGCCATCAAAGTTGGCATGAATCAACAGAATCCTCTATGTAAATTGTCCCCAAAACCTCCACTGAGTAGAGAGGGGGGCAAGTTCGATCAAACCCGACATGGGTTTGCCACACCAGTGCTGGCTGGGA